CGCACTTTCAAATAAAGTCGCTAGGAACAGCAGCGGATATCCCAAAAAGTAAACAAAAATAAAAGTCTAATCTCTTGAAAACCGGTGAATATTTTTCGATAAAATTTGGTAGATATTCGTTTTCGCCGTTTCTGAACCTAGCGACATCACTTTCATGCCAATTCATTAACTTTTTTGAAGGTGGGAGGGTCTCTTTAACCCGCTTCGAGTCAGTGCTTGGGTCCCTTTGCGGGCCGGGAGGTGGTAAAACAGCCCTGTCTAACTCGGCTCCTCGGCCACGCCCTGATTGAACTATGTTTCATTATCGTTTGGGGGAGGGGGAAAACGGGCCACTTTAGGCCTCTGGGAAGGGGGCATGGCCCTAAATGCCCCCTCCCTGGATCCGCCAGTGTAAGAAGAGACCATTGGAGCTGCAGTTGGGTACCTAAGACATCAGGGTACGCCCTCAGATGCATGTATAGGACTCGCATGGAGACCTCTTATGCTATAGTGTACTGAAAGGACCCAAAGGAGCCTGTCTATATGGGCTCCCGGAGATAGACGTGGGCCCTCAGGAGCCCGCCAGAGCCCCAATGAGGGATAAGTGAGGGATACCAAATGCCTGCAATTGCATATTGCATAAGCCATAACGCCTTTACAAATCAATATATTATGCATCAGTGGCAGATCCAAGGGGGGCCACATGGGTCATGACCCCCTTGGTGCCCGGGGGCACCACAGGCCTGTCAGGGGCACCACCGGCCTAGTAGGGGCACCACCAGCCCGCCAGGGGCACCACAGGCCTAGCAAGGGCACCACGGGCCTGTGAGGGGCCCCACAGGCTTGTCAGGGGCACCCCAGGTCTGTCAGGGACACCAGAGACCTGCCAGGGGCGCCGCCGGCCTCGCAGGGGCACCATGGGCCTGTCAGGGACAACAGAGGCCTAGCAGGGGTACCACAGGCCTTACAGGGGCACCACCGGCCTTGCAGGGGCACCTTGGGCCTGTCAGGGGCACCACAGTCCTGTCAGGGCCCAGGGCACCAGCGGCCTAGCAGGGGCACCACAGGCCTGCCAGGGGCACCACCGGTCTAGCAGGGGCACCATGGGCCTGTCAGGGGCCCCACCGGCCTCGCAGGGGGCACCACCGGCCTCGCAGGCATCACGGCATCACGCAGGGGCACCTTGGGCCTGTCGGGGGCATCACGGGCCTGTTGGGGGCACTTTAGGCTTGTCAGGGGCACCACAGTCCTGTCAGGTCCCAGGGGCATCAGCAGCCTAGCAGGGGCACCCTAGGCCCGCCAGAGGTACAGCCCACCGCTAAAGTAATGTAGGGTTTTACCAAACTCAACGGTTGGCTTTGACTGGCGATTGTTTAATGCGAAGTGATTGAAAAGAAGATGTCAATAGCTAAAGTTGCAGCTGCAAGGGTGACGATACCTACATATAAGCTACATTCAAAGTTTCATTGTAGTCTGGCTAATCGTTCCTAAGCTTCAGAAGCAGAACATACCCATGACTGAAACCCCACATTACTTCTGCTGTGGACTGTACCACAGGCCTGCCAGGGTCCAGGGGCACCACAGGCCTAGCAAGGGCACCACGGGCCTGTCAGGGGCACCTCAGGCTCCCGTGCCCCCCCCTCTCCCCCCCAGATCCGCCAGTGATGCCACACCACGCGAAACACCGCCAACTACCAGCTACCGCGCCATAAACACGTGCCAACAACAGTCTTTTTTTTTTTAAGGTCGACTTCGCTCGCGCAACTTTTGACTGACCCTCACTGCTACTATATTGCTTCCATATTATGCAGTGGAAAGCTTTACTTCACCAAGTGGCTAAAAACCTTCATCAAGGTATATTTTCTTAGCAATTTTTCTGGCGTTTTTGGGGGGGGGGCCAAACAGGCCACTTTAGGCCTTTGGGGGGGGGGGGGGCATGGCCCCCGTGGCCCCCCCCTGGATCCGCCAGTGCCAACAAGAATGTGCCAACTAGTGCCGGCCGTCGGTCCACTTCCGTGACCTCGCCATGGTCGCGTGAATTACTTTTCACGACGTCGCAAGCAGCCGAGACTGAGTCAGGCGATCGTCATAAATGAAACCTACTACAGATAAAGTCATAAATCGCAAAAAAAAACGAAAGAAAATTTGCACACATATGTCCCTAGGCTTCTACACGAACCTGTCCCACAACGTTTTTTCTTTGTAATATATTTCAAAATTTCTCGTTGCAAAATGACACTTTTTAAACAAACAAGCTTGCATCAGTTCCGTGAATAGAGTGAGCTTCTTCGCCGTGAATTTTGGAAAGCTGAATTGAACCACATTTTGGAGTCAGTATCGCGAAAACGGATGCTGTGAAAAAAAGTTTGAAAGACGTACAAATAATGCAACTTCGCGTTTTATCAAGCATGATAGCAGGTTCAGTGAAGTCTTCTACAGTGAACGAGGGCTGCAATGATAGACATATTTTTTATTATTTACCTTGAGCTTGGGCAGCCACTCGTGTTCCCATAAACTGTCGGAAACGAATGTGTCTCATGCACGAAAGTGTCCCGCTCTCCGGTCTCCCCTATCTCAGTTTTTTTTTTAGGGTCACCTAAGGTCAGGCTGGTCACGTGACCCCACCCTTATAAGTCCTTGATAGAAATATTAAAATTGCTGTTTTGTTTCCACAAATGATCAAAACTCTCTCAAGCACATGAAATCATGATTTCCTCCCTCTACCCCTTGCAGGGTTCAGTACCGCCGATGCACACTGGCGGATCCAGGAAGCGGGGCTTTTTGGGCATTTGCCCCGCAGCGCCAGAAATTGACGAAATTTCGAATATTTCCTTACATAGAAAGAAGATTACACAAGTTTTCCTGCAAAAGCCGGTTCTAAATTTCATAGCAAATTAGAAGTGAGCGAAATCTGAGGATTTTTTTTTTTTGGAAATTGGAGACATCTTTTGGAGAGCATACCCCGCAGCATCTTAAGCCTCCTCTCTGGATCCGCCCGTATTTTACATTATGAACTTAACCCTCGCCCTGGCAGGGCATTTTTCATAACACAGCCTGGCAGGGGGGGGGGGGGTCGATGCGACCCCCCTCGCGATTGGCTCCTATGGCACCTAGAAACACCAAATTTGGTAGGTAGGTGGGCCCCCTGGAGTTCTCGCCCCTGTGCAAATTTGGTTGCTCTAGGTCAATATTTAGGTTTTTTTTGGGGGGGGGGGGGTATAAATGTAAAAATTTCGCTAAAAACGGTTCAAAAGCTTTTCGCTTATAACTCTTGATCTAATTAAGATAGAGCAAAAAGAAAAGCACCAGTGAACTCAGCACGTCAAGGCGCGTCGAATGATATACTTTTTAGCTTGCTTAAGTGTACTTAAAATTTTCCTTGAATTTTAGTAAACTTAAATTAATAAATTAAGTTCAAGTTAACCGAATTGCACCATATCGCATATCAGTCGATTCGGCTGATCACCAGGAATACAATTATACCATTTGTTAAGCTCTAGCGTCATTATGTGCCAAGTTATTGGCAAAAACGTCATTTGACCTCAGTTGACCTCATTTGACCTGACCCATGGATAAGTACACCAAACAAAGAAGCACCAAGTGACCTGCTGTTAAGTACTGTGGTTTCAAAGCACAAAAGTGATAGAACGAAGCGGATATCTCCAGTATTTTCCGAATTTAGTATTTTCCCATAGGCTTAACATTACGACGTAATGACCTCTAACTGACCTCAGGTCAGTGACCTAAAAAAACTCGAACGAACTATATGTTATACAACTCGGTGAACTTAGCACATCCTGAAAGTTTGAAGTAAATCAGTCCAAAACTGTGAGTTGGACAGGTGCAAAAAGAAAATTGAAATTTGACCATGACCTTGTACCGGTTTTTCTGACCTGGTAACCTGACCTTAGGTCACTCGGACCTGAAATTTTCAGGTCATATGTCAAAAGGTTGCCCTATAGGCTGTGCCAAATTTGGCGGCGCTGCGTGCCGCCGTTTTTACGCTATCTTTGAAAAACCTTGGGGGGGGGGTCGCATCGACCCCCCTGCCAGGGCGAGGGTTAAGATGCGTCATATATGACGTCACTAAGGTCATATGAGTTTTTCGTCAATAACTCTGATCAAATTGAGCTAAGACCAAGCCACCAATGAGCTCGTGAAGGCCTGTCAAATTGAATGATATACGACATGACATCATTCGATCAACGTTATGGCCTGCAAGGTTTGACCTGACCTTGTGACCTAGTAAATGAACTAGGTTGACCTCATAAAAAGTATATCAATCGACGCGTCTGAGCAAGACGAATATGATGATGTCCAAATGGCAATTCTTCCATCATTTTTTTTTTTTTGAGAGGTTATTCATCAAGTGCCATATCCCTACCTTGGGCTACTTGACCTGACCTCAAAGGCCTCCAGTTGATCTAGGTCCTGAAACCTTAAAATCGGGTATATACCAGTCGCTATGTCTCGTAACTGCGCACACTCTGGTCTTTTTCCCGCGAGGCTCTACAGCTCAGTTAGAGGTGAAACGGCAGGGTGAGCTGGGAGTTCTCCCCCCCCCCCCCATTATGTACACAAGTGTAGTGGGGACAACCAATAGGTCCGGTAGGGGTTAAGGGACTCAATCCTTGAGACTGATTCAGATCTCAAGAGACATGTAGGTGTTGTAAGCTTTTGTAAGCTTTTGAAGCTAATCCATCAATCTCAATTATTAAAGTAGTTGTCGTGAAATGTAGCCACATACCTATACATGCGGTCATTTATCCTGAAAAAATTTAACAAAAGCGTTATAGCTAAGCAACAAGTCGTACGGGTATTGGATGGCGCTGCTATAGGATATGTTAGTTCCACCTGCACTGCAGTGTGGCATAGCCAACGCTTGACAGGTGTTTGAGAGCAACACTTCAGACTGACTTCAAAATGCGCATGAAACAGGCTGGAATTACCCAGAAAGCTTCAAAGCGATCATCCACACGGAAATGGAAACTAAGCGTGAGTAAGCTAAAACTGGTGACAGTATTGGTGGGCTGGCTCAGCATCAGACCCGAAAGTGTTGAGTAATTTCCACCAGCCCATACCAACTGGGACCATAAAAAGCATTATCGAAGGACATTCCATGCCCCCAATCCATAACTCCGTGTCAGGTCTGTACAGGGGAGCCCCTGGAGCCCGTGGATTTCCCAGTGCGACGGCAGAACAGTGTCTCGTCCCCGCCCCTTGTGAAAGCTGCCCGATAAAGGTACCGGCCCGGCGGCCGGCGGGGCTAGTGCAGCGTGCGCGGGCGGGACGGTCAGCCAGCCGGTCTCCTGAGGCGGGGTTCACACCAGCGCGGCGGGGCTGCTGAGGCGCTGAGGCGGGTTCACACCTCCACCCGCAGCGGAGGTGACGCGGACGCCTCGCGGCGCGACCAATCCACTCGGACTGCAGACAGACGAGAGGACACCGGTCCGACGCCATGCGTTCCTCGGTAAGTTCGGACTGAGCTGAGGACATGGACAATGTTGGGCCCTCCTCTGCACAGGACTCTGGTGGACTCCTAGCCTGCGTCTACACCTCGCCGAGCTGATTTAGCTCCCATTCCAATCATCACACCGTTTAATTACACAAGTGGCCGCATATATGACCTAAGGTCAATGGATTGACCTTCAAGGAGCAGGTACCGTTAACCCTATTAGTGGCGGGGGGGGGGGTTGTTTTCATCCACCCCTCAGGTTTTTCGAGAATATCTCCGAAACCGCTGAAGCTACGATGCTAAAATTTTCTGACTTTTTCTAAAACTAAATTGGGCACATTCCCTGAAAATTTCAAGTTCATAACTTTACCAGGGGCGGCTCCAGAGCACTGGGAATTGGGGGGTCCTATTCGTGAAGCGAGTCATTTGGGCGAAGATCACGATGCTGATGTATTATAACTGTATGCACCAGTTTTACGAACAGTGAATGAAAGGTATCATGTGATAGCATATACAAAGTTATTGTGCATCCTCTTTTGACACGTTTTTGCTATAATAGGCGGATCCAGGCGTCCAAAAAGGGGGGAAATGTTTTACCTCCCAACATAGGTGTCCTGACACCGCCTATGCATGACCAATATGCATAGGCGCTCTCTTTTGTAATTGTAGTCGCTCTCTCATAAGAAAATTGTAACATAACAAGACCATTACCACCCTTTTTAGAAACAGTACCAACAAAAACCTTATTTACTATACTTTTTGTGTACCCCCAATCTCAATGATCTGTATCCACCTATGATTTTTGAAAATCCATATTTTTAGGATCCATGTGAATTCCTGGTTCATTCTCTATCGATCGGCAAAAGTTGCGTTAAGATTGGTTCAGAAACCTGGCCGTGATAAACAGTCTAAAATGTATCTGCAATTTGCCCGTTTTTACCCCCCTCTACCCCCCTATTGGCATTTTTTAATTCTTATTTTTTTAGAAATGTAGATCACGTTGAGCGAAATCGAATGCTGTTTGAATTTTGAAAATCGGCCGGTTAGATCTCGAGATATCAGGGGGGGTCGTAAACAGCCCCCCCTGCCACTAATAGGGGTAGCCAGGAGCCTGCCACTAATAGGGTTAAATGGACATTTCTGTGGCATTGTTTCCTGCAATAGTTTTTGCCATAAAACAGGCGTAACATCGATTTTAACAGCATTATGTTCCTCCCGTCAAAGGTCAAATTTAAAACTCCGAGGGTCAAGGACATAGCTTATTCGAGAAGAGTCATGCTGCGTATTAGTCATTTTGTATTATTGAGCTAAGCACAGCAAATCGCTCCATTCATCGACCCAGCATTGTTCTGACGAAACATGTCAAAAACTGCTCGTGATCTAAAATGGTCACACATGACCCCCGGGGCATAACGTGGGATTCGGTTGCAATTTTCCGATTTAACCTGGCCGGGCCCGGGGGTATCCCAACCACCGCAGCCCGGAGGCGTTTTTTCACCCCCAGTAGTGTATAATTAAGGGAGCTACGAAAACAAAATCGGCATTAAACGAAAGGTCTTTATAAGACGATTCTAAAACGCCATGAAATTACTTTTGCCAGCATCGTGTTCCTCTCGTCGAGGCGTCGAATGAACTATAATTTGACCTTGAAAGGTCAACTTGAAAATTTGACCACAGGTCAAAGTCACGACCTGACCGGAAAAGGTCATGTTGCATATCAGTCGATCTGCAACGTCGAGACGAACACATCTAAGGCGTTTTCAGCGCTCTAGCACGCCTCTATCAGAAGTTATTGGCGAAAATCTGATAGATTCTGTTCGTGACCTGATATGACCTCAGGGACATAACGAGGGGTCACAGTTGCCATTTCCCGGTTCAGTGGGTCAATTTTACCTGCATCGCGATGTTTGAGAGTGTCTAGAATAGCGTTCTTGCAAAACAGACGCTTTTCAATTTTCTCCCATTGACTTATAATGGAGAGGCCGCAAAATTGACCTGACCTTAGGTCACCGATATCAAAATTCCGAGATATACATATTCTATAGATAATGTTGCTCTAATCAATCGCTGAAAGTTTCAAGGCAATCGATCAATCGGTGTAGCTATGACGAGCATTCTCATTTTCTTTTCTGAGGTGAGGTCACTTGGCGTGACCTGGTGACCTGACCTAAGGCGACCTGGGTCTGAAATTTTCACAGCATGTGCGGAAAAGATGCACAAGCAGGTGTGCCAAAAACGGTGGCGCTCCGCGCCGCCGTTTTTGAGATATCTGCGAAAAACCGCAGGGGGGAGGGGGTGTTCAAACACCCCCGGCCCGGCGCGGGTTAAAGGGACTATCCCACCTTCTAAAATGTTGTTAAAACCAGTTAAATTGTGCCCGACTTTATAGATTGGATGACCAGGAACACGGTTCAGGCATTTATTTTTCATTAAACATCTTAGGCTTCCCATATTCCAAACACAAACTTTCAAATATGTGACGTCACAGCCCAAAATTACCTCCTTCCCCAGGCCACATTACTGTCATAAAGCTGATTCTTTTTACTCTGTAGGCACCACAACAAAGTTCAGACCAAGTTTTAAGCGATTTTTCAACGAACAAACCCATTTAAATCAGAATGACTAAACGAGGTGACGTCACACTAACGGTCGCTCCATGTTGAAGATAGGGCCTTGTACAAGGCCCATTTTCAAATGAAGGGAACGAATTTCTTCAACACCAAGAGGCCGCGGGGGTTGCAACCTAGTTAGATAGTGGTTTCTGAACCTCGCCGCAAACTTGGCTATCTCAACTCAAACTCCATGTTAAAGGTGGGATAGTCCCTTTAAGTAGGATGGTCGTAGGATTGTGGATGACCGCGAGAAAGCTGATGTATTGAACCGCATGTTCTCCAGCAAATTCTCTGATCCCGCTGTTGCCGTGCTGCCGTCGGCTCCGGATCACGCGCTTGACCCACTGTGCTCATTCTATGTCTCGGAGGAACTTGTCCGTGGAATCCTTTGTAGCATCAATCAGCACAAAGCGTGTGGACCGGACAATGTAAGCGCGCGTATTATTAGCGAATGTGCCGTTGAGCTGACGGTCCCTGTAACCAAGCTGTGCCGGTTGTCCACTGGCGGATCCAGACTTGCGTTTTGGGGGGGGCCAACTCCTGCAAGTAACCAAACCTAGGGTACCCCCAAATCCTGTTTTCTCATCGGATTTAGGCCACTTATTTTTTCGTCACAGCCCTGAAACGATATTTTTTTTAAAACTAAAAATAAAAAATATACAAATGGTAGCCCACCCAACCCGAGCCTAAATATTACTTTGAAAACACTTCAAATTGCTTTTGTCGACCAATTAGCCCGCTCCGGGTCGGTGCGTGGCGCAGCCTTCGCGGGCTGGGAGGTGTCGGTTGGACCCCCTGCCGTTCTTCGGCCCCTGATTAAGCTAGAGCTCGCGGAAAAAAAAAACAGGCGTGTTGCCCGTGAGTGACGAGACGAAGCCGATGATACCCGATTTTAAGGTCCTTGGTCATTGGTTGACCTTCCAGGGCGGTGTTTCACGGTCGTGCTGACAGCCGCTGACAGCGCATTCCGCGAGCTAAGGTCAGCCTTCGGTAGTGTTGTGGGTATAGGCTTGTTGATGTCTCCATTGAAACCAAAAGTGCCATCAGCGCTGGCAGCGGCTGGCAGCGTGCCGTGAAACACCGCCCAGGTCAGGTCACAGACCCAAAAGACGGGAAAATCAGGACCTGTCAGAACCTCCTAAAGTAAGGCTGAAATACGTTTTTTTGTGCTGATCACAAATTTCATGTTAGTTTGGATCATAGATAATGTCTTCATGCGTTTAGGCCATGTCAGGGCAGGTCAGGTCAGATCAACCAGTAGGGGTACTTATGGGCGTCCGTATAGCAGGTGTCCACTACCACTGGCAGCTACGTAACATGATACGAAGGCATCAAAACTACTTCGTAAATGTTCAAATGGCTGCAAAATGCTAAATTCAAAATCAGCTAAACGAAACTATCCTAGAAACATGCTAAACTCGGAAAAGTGCACCGAGGTCATCAAAGGTCAATGACCTGACTTGACCGTAAGGTGGCATTGGCATCCGCCCTAATGCGTGGGAGCAACATCATATCACATGTTTGAGCGTTTTAAACCACGAAAAGACTATAAAAGCGCGGATAATGTGAGCCGACATACGCCGAATCGCTATTCCGGCCAAACATGGCCTCCAACATGGCCAAACATATGGTGCGTTCGGAGAGGCACATTCCACGTGGAATCCGTTGAATATTCCATGCGCGCGGAATATTTCCGGAGATTAGCCGTTCAGTATGTATGTATGTATGTATTGCTTATCTTTGGAGAAACCACACAGGCACTTACACTCCAGCGTCAAGCACAATCAAAGTAAGTTAAAATATGAAGCGAGCAGATCATTGTAAGAGGTCACACAGCCACACTGACATACCTATCGGGATCATTTGGACGCCAAACAACTGCGTATGCTTCGCCTGAACTTGGCGAGATGATTCACTTCAGAGAGATGATACGCCTCCGAACGCGGCACGGGGAATATTCCCGGGGACGGTGAATATTCCATGCTCTCCGAACGCACGGATAGTCTCGAGAAATAGGCCACAAGTCAAAGTTCACTTGGGTCAGGGTCATAAAATTTTCAGACTTTGTCACCATGAGGGTACTAAAGTTTCGTCGCGATCGGCTTCATGATACCTTACACGATAACTTCACACGTCGATCGAGAGTTAAAGCATGGATGAAGGAGAACCTGGGGATGAAGGTTCTTTCATCCATGGTTAAAGTGTGCAATAAGAACTTCTTGGGTGAAGACAAGACCAACACTTTTATCAAGCTCACAGATTTTTAATGATACGGTATTTTCTCTCTACCTACTACGCCCTTCTCACATTCATTTTTCTTAAGTGTTTTTGGGGACAAAAAATATATGTTGTTCCCCTTTCAGGCTTGGGGGCATGACCCCGTGGCCCCCCTGGATCCGCTAG